AACCCATGTAAAAGATTAATAAAAAGATTTATCAAAAATCTTGAATAAGACAATTATAGACTAATGATGATTGTACTTAATTGTAAAAAAATACAATTTGTAGATAACACATGGGTCACACAAAAACAAAGTTACTTTATTATATATAAAATGCGTCTCTTTCAATTGCGAGTACCAGTATATCTACATTACATGCCATATATATATATATATAAACTCTATATAGTGTATACCTATAATCTGTTTGTCCATTTGTCGTCCCATGAATTCAGGTACCAGTGTTTCCTCCCGACGCCTCAGCCACAGTCTCAGCGCCTTATAGTGAACACAGTCGTAGTTGTCGTCGTCTTTGCTATCGTACGGCAACAGTAGTCGCTGTGTGGCGGCTCCGGGATCATCGTCGACGACAATATTAGCCGCCGATTCTGCTAACTTGAAAGTCAATGATACCGTTTCGCACGACATGACTGTCCATATATAGTTGACGACTAGCCAGTCGTTTGCCGTATCTACCAGTGCACTGTGTGTGTGAGAGAGAGAGAGAGAGAGGACAGTTAGGTAACTATAACACACAGCCACAAACACACACATACACACACATATATATACACACACACATACACACACACAACCACTCACACACAACCACTCACATACACACACACATACATATATATATATACACATACACATACACATACACATACACAACACACACACACACACACACACACACACATACACACACACACACACACACAAACATACACACACACAATTACACATAGACAGCCACACACACAGATCAACACAAATACATACCCGAACCGATTGTTATCAGAGTCGACCACATCAATGGTCTCAATGTTGTGGACAATGTCGACAAACGTCAGATTAGATTCAATAGGTATGTCCTGATCGAGAACTACCGGTTTCCTGGCTTTTAGCGGCTTATTCATCAAAACTTCATTGATTTTATTGCTCTCTTTGAATGCCATATCTCTCATCTATAATACTGTATTATCCATGAGCTCAACACCCCGTCCCCCCTTTAAAAAATAAATATATAATATTTTTTTTTAAATATACTAATTATTGTTATTGTTTTTATTATTATTATTATTATGTTTTTAATAATATACTGTAATATATAAAACTATATCAAAAAATTAATTAATTAATAAATTAAATTAAAATTTTTTAAACAATTAAAATTCAATTATCATTAAATTATTTTGAATTTTAATTTATAATATTAAACATTATCTTTTTTAAAATAAAATCTAGTATTATTGTTATTATTATTATTATAATCTAATATTTTATTTTATAAAATTGTCTACAAAAATGTTTTTTGTATTATGTTTTTATATGTTAGTATTATTATTATTATTATTATTATTATTGTACATTTTATTTTACATGATATATATATATATATATATATATATATATATATATATATATATATATATATATATATATTATAATGGTACAATTTTGTAACTAGTATAAAAATAATTAAATAAAAAAATATTTACTTATTTATTATTCAATAAATTTATCATATTGTATTATTATTATTAGTAGTAGTATTAGTATTGTTATTATTGAATTTAATAAAATAAAATAAAATATTTAATTAAAAATAATAATAATAATAATAATAATAATAATTTTACAAACATATAATATAAAATTTTTATTATTTAAATTATATATAATTTCATATATATATATATATATATATATATATATATATATATATATATATATATATATATCAATACTAACAGTTATAACTAAACTAACTAATCAATCAATAAAATAATCAACTAAATTATCAATTTGATATCTCATTATTATTATTATTATTAATATTAATATTATAATCAATTAATAATAAATGTTGTTATGATATATATATATATACAGTTATAATAAAATTTATATTCAAAATAATAATAATATATTTCATGTATTAAATGTCAAGTCTATGAAAATATGTGTAAAATATATATTAAATATTATTACAGTGTATATGAGTTTATTGAAAAATTAAATAAATAAATATTTTTATAATAATTGTTTAGTTTATACAGTAGTCATATAATTATATCAGTATATAAAAAAAATTATATTCATAGTTAACAGTAAATTAAAAATATATTATATTTAAAATTATTACTAAATATTAAAAAAAACATAATATACTCTATAATATTAATTTAACATTTAATTTCAAATTTTTATCGATTAAAATACTAATATATTGTAGTATATACTGTATATATAATATATATTTATTTACTGTATATATTATGATTACAATTATATTGTGAAACATTGTATAAACTAAATATATTAATAATATAATAATAAATAAACAAAACTACCGGTATATTTATAATTAGAAAATTTATGTAATAATTTTTTTTATTAAACAATGATTTTACATTATTAGTTTTAATTGAATATATACAGTAGTAGTTTTAGTTTTTAATGTATTATTGTTTTCCTATTATGATTGTCCAAACACACACACACACACACACACACACACACACATACATACATACAGAAATACATACATACATACATACATACATACATACATACATACACATACATACATACACATTCACATACATACACATTCACATATATACAGACACATTCACATATACACACAAAATACATATACACACACATACACACACATACACACACATACACACACATACACACACATACACACACATACACACACATACACACACATACACACACATACACACACATACACACACATACACACACATACACACACATACACACACATACACACACACATACACACACATATACATACACAAATACATACAGAAATACATACATACACATACATACACATTCACATATATATACACACACACACATTCACATATATACACACACATACACACACACGCATTCACATATACACACATATATACATACATATACAGACACTCACATATACACACAAAATACATATATACACACACACATACTTATACACACAAAATACATATAGACAAATATACAATATTTTATTTATAAATTTATTAATGCAATGTCATTATTATTATTATTATTACACAAATATTAAACAATTTCTATAAAATTTTCCCAAATATATATATGTTTATGTGTTTATGTGTTATATAAATTATAGTAAATAAAATGAAAATAATAATGTGTGATATATTTGCTGTTGTAAATGCTATATCAATTTTCTTGATAAAAATTATTTTGCAATTTTTAAAACAAATGTAATAATAATAATACAGTAATAATACTAATAAAAATTGCAACTGTTATTACATTTCACTTTTTTATTATGTGTGTGTGTGTGTAATATAATATCTAAATATATATAAAACATTGTTTAAAACATAGGTACATATATGTAATTTATATATAATTTTTTAAAATATTTATTTATTTTTTGGTTATTTTTGTTTTGTGTGGTTTAATATGTATCAATTAATTTATACAATATTTTTTCTATCATCTATATTTCCAGCTCAATATGGTTTGTATTTATTTTTATAAATATTTTCAAAAATAAAATAAATAATAATTTATTTAATAAACTTAAATATCAAATAATTTTAATTATATTATTATTATTATTATTATTATTATTATTATTATTAAAGACAGTGTAAAGTGTTATATATGCGAATATAATGCCGTCTACTGTAATGGCATTAATTGTTACAATAATCCGGATATTTGTAGTACCGGACAGTTTAGTACAGGACTGGTACCAGTGGCCTACTGTCCACATAATTGTATGCTAAAGGGCATCACTAATCCAGTAGGTAATTGATAAAAATCTATATATTGTATAAATATATATACATTTACATATATATATATATATATATATACATAGATATATACACACATACACATACACATACACATACACATACACATACACATACACATACACATACACATACACATACACATACACATACACATACACATACACATACACATACACATACACATACACATACACATACACATACACATACACATACACATACACATACACATACACATACACATACACATACACATACACATACACATACACATACATATCTATATATCATTTATATAATTATAAACACCCGCTAATAGGTATGGTAATAAAATGGGCCCGATTTTGTGCCCCGGCTAACGATCTGACCAAAGGTTTCAAGTGTCGTACCGATTTCAAAATCGGTGCCCGCATTGACCAATGCACCTGCGATAAGGACTATTGCAATCACGGCCATCGGCGGACAGTTGCCGGCACCGGGCTATTGATGACAACCATTTGTTTGGTGATAATGGCAACTATAAGTTGATTTAAAGTTATAACAATAAAAAATATAATAATGAGATTTATAGACAAAATTATTGAAATTTTTGTTTTTTTGTGTAAATATATTTGATATTATATATATATACAGTATATATATATTGCTAATATCTATACAATATTATTATTTAATTATAATTCATTCAATTAAATTAATAGTTTAATTATAAAAAAAAATAAATAAAATAATGAATTATAATAAAAAATCAAAAAGTTTTTATAATTTTAAAGTTTAATTTATTATATTATATATGATATATATATGACATTACAAATGTTTTTGTGATAATTTAATTATTATAATTTATTTTTGAAAATGCATTTATATTTTTTGTATAATTGTATTAATTACTAAACAAATATTTGTTAATTTGTTTGTCTAATGAAAATAGTAATAAAAATTAAATAATAATAATAATTATTATATATTATATATAATAAATATAATATTATGGTTATATCATTATTATTATTATTATTGTAAAAATTAATATACAATGAATGATAGATAGATAGATATACACTAATTAATTAAATAATTAAATTATTACACATTATTATTACTATTATTATTAGACTCCATGTGCCTAAACTCCAGATACTTTAGTAGATAGGGATCGGACGGGTCATCTACCGGTTCAATAATATAGACAGTATTTGTTGATTTTGTAGTCAACGGAGGAGGATGAGGACAGTTAGCTACTGTCTTATTATTAATAGCTATCGTGTTGTTGTTGTTATGATGGTTAGGCTTATTATTATAGTCGATATACCATTTATAGATACCGGTGCATATGATGGATATGAATATTAGTGAACCGCCCAGAAAACTGGTCAACAATATCGGTTCGTCCAATATGGTTACCGAAAATATAAAACTAATAACAACACTCAGTGCCCGGACTACGGCTACCGGTGCAGCGTTTTCCAGTTTCAATGCCATAGTTATAAATAGTTGATCGCTGGCACCGCACATACCTATTTCAAAAAAAAACAAATACCATAGATATAGATAGATAGATAGTGAGATAGATAGGTAAGGAAATAGATAGGTAGGGAGATAGATAGATAGGGAGATAGATAGGTAGAGAGATAGATAGGTAGGGAGATAGATAGATAGGGAGATAGATAGGTAGGGAGATAGGTAGGGAACTAACTAACCTGTTATACACATAACTAGCCATAGATAGGTAGGGAGATAGATAGATAGGGAGATAGATAGGTAGAGAGATAGATAGGTAGGGAGATAGATAGGGAGATAGATAGGTAGGGAGATAGATAGGTAGGGAGATAGATAGGTAGGGAGATAGATAGATAGGGAGATAGATAGATAGGGAGATAGATAAATAGGGAGATAGATAGGTAAGGAGATAGATAGATAGATAGGTAGGGAAATAGATAGATAGATATACATATTATAAATACAGGTGCCTTAAAATGGTTAAAAACCAAACAATACAAACTAACTAACCTGTTATACACATAACTAGCCAGACAGTAGCATTGGATGGCCATTTGAATTCATCCAGAAGCCACAGGGCTACCAATCCTAGACAAACGGTTTCCAATGAAAACCAAAATATGACTACCGATGCCTGTGTACGCTGCAGTCGGCGCATAACTGTCATCGATATGGCTATGGTTATGGCTGCCGACATGGCCAGTACTAGTCCCCAGCAAGTGTCGGCCGATACGACTGCGCCAGTGCTGAACAGAAAGGTCGGTCGGGCAACCAGTACGACACCCGTAATGGTAATCAAGGCGCCGGACATTTCCATCGGACCGAACCGTTCCCGGAGTAATATATAGGCAAACAACGATACAAATACCGGTGCCGTAAAACGCATTGTCGTTGCATCTGATAGCGGTATCAGTCGATAGGATGTGTACAGACAGGCCATCGATATGGTACCCAATGTGCACCTGTATATATGAGTGTGTTATAAATGTATAGATATTTTTTTGAAGTTAGTTTTTTTGGGTGTAATTTTTTTTTTGTTATGGGGATACACTTTTTTTTGAAGGGATAGGTATGTATGTATGTATGTTTATATGTATGTATGTATGTATCTGTGTATGAATATGTATGTATTTATATATGTATTTATATATGTATGTATGTATGTATGTATGTATGTATGTATGTATGTATGTATGTATGTATGTATGTATGTATGTATGTATGTATGTATGTATGTATGTATGTATGTATGTATGTGAATGTACCTTAAAAATAGGTAAATCCTTTCGTTTGGTTCGCCAAAATAGTTGACTACGGTTTTCGTATTCAACATAACAATGAAATAGATTGCTGTCTGTATTAGAGCACTGAAAAAAAAATTTTAAAAAAATAAAATAAAATTTAATAATTAAAAACTAAAAGTTAATTATTAGTAAAGATAATAATAATATTGATATATATAAAGTTCATGTAAACAAATAATTATCAATTAATATGTTTGTTTAAAACAATATAATCTAATTTTTAACCTTAATATATATGTATTTTAAAAAAAAATTGAACACATATTTGATTTAGTTTTCACTTAATTTTTTTAAAAAATAAATAATTTTGATTTAAATAGGTTTGAAATGTCAATGGCATATTAGTATATTAATAATAATAATATTATATAAAAAAAAGTTAAAAACATAAGCGAGATTAATTAAATGATAATTTACTGTAAATTATTTGAAATATTTAATTAAATAATTTATATTATATACTATAAAGTCTATCGAAAAATAATTAATTAATTAATTATATATATATATATATGGAGTAAATTCACGAAAAATTTTTTGTTTTTAAAAATGTAATTATCAACAAAAAAAATAAGTAAACAATTATTTTATTAATTATATATATAAATAATCTAGTTTAGTTTAATTTGATAATTTATTGTATATATATGTGTGTATATTATTTAATCAATTGTTTATATAACATGTATTGATTGATATATAAAAAAAACTAAATTTTTATAACTATAGTATAATTAAATAATCAAATAATTACATCAAAAAAAATAAACACTAAATAAATTAAGATTATTGTATTTTCTACTAAATTATTAAATTAAATTAATTTGATTTATTTTTTAAAAAATAACTTAAAGATTAGATTACAAATTATTAGATATATATATGATATATATATATATGATATATATATATGATATATATATACAGTATATACTAATTGATTAACCAAAACGGGGTTTCGGTCTATCGGTTAGACCATTGACTTGAATCTATTGTGTTGACATGTTTTCAATTTATTTTATTTTTTTTAAAAAAATTAATATAAATTTTTTTACTAATAAAAATAAAGTTGTAATTTATAATTAAATTTATTTACATTTAATTTTATTATTATTATAATTTATATATATATATATAATCATTGTTACTTACATAGTAACTTCATAGATGAGATATATATATATAAATACTATTTATTGATAATTTTTATTAAATTAAAAAAATATATATAAATAAATTAAAAATATAGTAAAAATTATATATGATATCAGTCTAGATATATATATAAATAAATTGAAATTCATTTAATAAAAATTTTTCATTTATCTAAAATGATAAAAATTGAAATCTATTAATTAAAATTTAATTTATAAATATATTTATTAATTTATTATCTGGAAATTTTTATTTTATATGATTAAACTAGTTTTAATAAAATACATATGTTATATTTATGTTAAATTATTTTTGATTATTATATTTATTTTTTTTGGTTAAAAAAGAAATATTACATAACAGTACATAATATCAATTAAATTGTTATTTAACATAATTTATATATATATATATATATATATTATATATATATAATTATTTATTTAATATATATATATAACCTTGACATTGGTGAACTATTTTAAAATATAAAAATTTACTAAATAAAAAAATTAAATGTTAAATAAAAAAAATTAAATACTAAATAAAAAATATTAAATACTAAATAAATATAAATTTAATATAAATTTTTCTCACAAAAAATATATTTATAATTATTATTAATTTTAGAAAAAAAATTGTTTATAAATACTATTTTTTTCTAATTTTATTTCTAATAGTTTATTACTAATTATTAATTAATTATTTATTTTTTTCTAATAATTACCTAACGGTTAGCATTTCCAGTGCGTGAACATCGGTCGACAGTTTAATACACAGTCCGGCCGACGACCAAAACAATACAGAAATTATGGCACAAAATATGCCGACACCCGGTATGGCCTTCAAGTCGACCGACTTTTTATTGGACATCACTGTAACAGTCAATAGTAATAATAATTAATAATAAATTTTTTTGATAGCATTTAAATGTAACAAAATTCAAACATATTATATACCGTATATATATTGCATAATATGATATAAATTAAAAAAAATATAACTTTTAATTTTTTATTTAATTAAATTAATATCTATTTAAATAACTAATTTTTTTTTTAAAAATATGATAAATTATATTTAAATTATTAACCAAGTTAATATTAATTTTATGTGTATTAAATTATTATCAATACATGATAATAAAAAAAATTTCAATTTAAATAAATATTAATTTGAATACTATTATATAAATAAATTATTAGCAGCTATGTTAGTTTTTTTTTTTTTAAAAATATAATAACTAATTTATATAAAAAAAATTATAACCAAATTGTATGTTAAAATTATCCTGATAATAATAATAATTAAATAATAATAAAGATAAGTTAGTCAAACAATTATATATTATAGTTTTTTTTAAATTATATATTTGCTCAGGTTCATCATCAATTATTGTTACCTAGCAGGATCTAGGTAAATTTTATTTTCAACAACAAAAATTTATAAAAATTAAATATTAATTTAATAAACTATATAAAAAAAATAAATATTTATCATTAGGTTATTGTTGTTTGTTTTTTAAACATAATAAACTAGTCTACACTGTAAATAAAATTATAATTTGCAAAATAAATAATTGTTTGATAAATATTATTGTTTAATAAATATTTTTTTTAAAAAAAAAATTATTCAGACAATAGTTATGTCATATTTGATTATATTTATATAACTGATTGATTGATTGATTGATGATAACAATTGCACATTAGTTTTAATGGATATATTTTTTTATTATTATTATTGATGAGTATATTATTTGTTTTGTTATGTATTATTAATAGTGTCTAATAATAATAATAATAGAAATAATGATAATTATTATTATTTAAATACAAAAAAAAAATTAGTATTATTTGGTTCAAATATTTTTTATTAATAAAAGTTTTTTAATTAAATATTTAAAATTTTAGCTAGATTATATATATATGATAATAATTGTTTATTTAGCTGCATAAATAAAAAATGTACATTGATACTATCCAGATACTTTTTTATTATTATTAATAAAATAAAATTATTGATATCTATTGATAAAAAGTAAATACACTCAACAAAAAAAAAGTTTGTATAATGTATTATATTAGTTATTAAATTAATAGATATATATATATATATTTATTTATAAATAGTTTAGTAATAGCTATAATGTTGTTGATTATATAATAATAAAATTTAATTAATTAATTAATTAATTAATAGACTAAATATAAGATAATAATTACCCAATTTTTGTTTGATTTTAATAATTTCCAACAAATTCATGTTTTAGTTGTTTGTTTTTTTTTTGATGAGTTTTATTAATATTAATTAATTAATTAATGAGTTGTTAACAACAAAATAAAATAAATAAAACAATAAATATTTTTCTCAAAAAAAAAATTAAAATATTATTTAAATGTCGTTATAAAACTTTTTTTTAAAAAAATACTAATAATAATAATAATAATAATAATGATAAGTTTACATTATTATTAATTATTATTAAAAATTATTAATTTTATTATATATATATAATAATAAATACTTGAATCACAATTAAAATTTATTATTAAATTTTTAAACACACAAACACAAATAATAAATATTTTTATTTTATCAATTAGTTGTAACTTTTTTGTTTTGTTTTAACAATTAATTAATTACATATATATTTAGTTATACTAATCAACAAAAATTTAAATAACTTTTAGCTTATGTATATATATATATATTATTGTTAAGCAAACTTGTAGACTACTTGTTCAACACTATGCCTACTATTGTAGTAATGTATTAGTAGTTAGTAGTAGTAGTAGTTAGTAGTCGTTCCCCTTTTTTTTCGTCCAAACCATACCAAACATATACATACATAAGCCAAGTACAGTATAATACACTGTATATATTAAAAACCACTAATCAATTGGTTAATAATTATTATGAACTGATAATAATACAGTACTACTACTACTACTACTACTACTAATAATAATAATATATAAATTTATATATTGTTTATACTATGCTATCGACTGACACAAACATATGAGATATACTGTAAATATTTTAAATGCTATTTAGTTTTTAGTTTTATTATATTTCAATTTTTTGTTGTTGTTAGTTGTTAGCTATTTGTCTGATAAGTGTCCCAATAATCAGTACATACTTGTGCTGTGTATTTGTTTAGTTTAAAATATACAGTAGTTTTTAATAAGTTAGTTGTATGTTTAAGCTACCTGTGCTTACAAACATACACTACTACTAACTACTAATCCATGTTTGCACACAAAATAAAAGTGAAAGTTTATTTATTTGAAAAATATTTTTGTCAAAATATTTTTGTTTTAGGGTATTGTCAATAATAATGATAATAATACAGTCATATATACTTATATTTTTCATCATAACTTATTATTATTATTATTATTTTTGTTTGTTTGTTGTTATCAGCAAACTTTTAAGTCCATAATATATACAGTATATTTTGTTAGTATATATATATTGTATATATAAATGTATAATTAAATAAAAAAAATTTTAGTAACAAAAGTATATATATATATATACTGTAATTATTGGATTTAGTAGTAATTTTTAAAATCAATTTTCAATGTTTTTTTGTTGTTGAAAAAACTTTTAAATTTTCCCTCCAATTTTTAAACTATATAAATATATATATATATATATATATTAGTTATTTAGATATAATTATTAATATTATGTATGTATATGTGTGTAATTGTATGTATGTTTGTTTATATGGGTGTATGTATGTATGTATGTATGTATGTATGTATGTATGTATGTATGTATGTATGTATGTATGTATGTATGTATGTATGTATGTATGTATGTATGTATGTATGTATGTATGTATGTATGTATGTATGTATGTATGTATGTATGTATGTATGTATGTATGTATGTATGTATGTATGTATGTATGTATGTATGTATGTATGTATGTATGTATGTATGTATGTATGTATGTATGTACRTATGTATGTATGTATGTATGTATGTATGTATGTATGTATGTATGTATGTATGTATGTATGTATTTGTGTGAGAGAGGACGTGATGTATTAGTGGTCAGCACAGGTATATAAAGATATTTATAGGTCAGTCATGTAGTCAATCACTAATCCTTTTTTACTTATTTTATTGATTGGAAATACTTTATTAAAATCAATTGGGTTTTACAAGTGTTTCCTCACGTATTCAATCCATTTGATACATACGGATGTCCGACAATATAATTACAAAAATGCAATACAATTATTATTATTATAAATGAAATTGTTGGGAAAAAATTAATTTAGTTATAACAATATTATATGCAATAATAATAATAATAATAATAATAATAATAATAGATATATTAATTGATTATTATTTCATGTAAAATCAAAAATATTTATACAATAATATTGATTTCTAATGTTGAAATAATATTAAAACAAAAAAAAATATTATTAAAAATAATATTTTTTGTTTTTAAAATTTAAAATAATTTATAATAATTTGTTTTCAATAACAATAATTATATATAAATACTGTATAATAATATAAGTATATATGGATATATATTTATAAACTATAAATTAAGTTAAACATGATATTAATTTTTTATAAATAAATTTAATCCATTATTTTTAAAATAATTAACCCAACTATAACAGTAGTATATATCAATAAATAATAAATTTTAAATAATAAATTAATTTTAAATAAAATAAAACAAAAAATATTATTTGTTTATTAGTTTAAAATATGATTAATTGTATAAACTAATCATAACTACTGTTTATATATAAATATATATATATATATAACTTAATAATTATTTTCAAATTATAAATTAATATTTATTTATTATTAATCAATAGTGTAATATAAGTTGTATAAAAATTTTTTTGTACATTATATTTATTAAAAACAAGTTTTAATGTTTTTTTTTTTAAAAACATGTTATAAATAAATTAATTGTTTAGTAAATAATAATAATTATTATTTTTAAGTATTCCGGGTATTATAAGACTATTAATATTATTGTTTAACACAAATAAAATCATTTAAAATCAAATAATTATTTATACAATAATATATAATATTTATTAATAAAATTAATATAGAAATAAAATCTGAAACAAAATATTATTTTTAAATAATATTTTTGTTGTTTTTAAAAATTTGTTTTCAATAACAATAATTATATATATATTTGTATATAATGTTTAATAATATAAGTATATATATATATATGAAAATTATCGATTAAGTTAAACATGATATTAATTTTTTTTTAAATTTAATGTTTTATTTTTTAAAATTTTAAAAAATAACCCAACAATTACTAACTATAATTTTAATGTATAAATAAATTTTAATGTTTTTAAATATTATTGTTATTATTATGTGTCAGTCAGTACAAGAGTCACTCCTAGTATTTAATAATTTATTTAATATTTATTTATATAATGTATTTATTTTAGTAAAGTCATTGTATTATTGATTACAAACTACAATAATATATATATATATATATAAATACAAATATTATTAGTAAATAAATATTTAATATTTAAAACAACAACAACAACAAAAAAACTAATATTTTTAGCTAAACTCTAATAAGTAATAATTAACTATAAATTTTTAATTCAATTAAATTAATTTTAAATTTTAATTAAAAACGATGACTATTTTTTGTTTGTTATCAATATTACATTTTTTAGAAAAATGTTTATTAAATAATGTGTTTATTATTTAATTATTTATTTATTTTTTTGATAAAAATTTTTAAAACATCACTTTCCATGACCTTTATCTCAAAGTTTAATCTCAAAGAAAATTTTATTTCATAATATATATATATATATATATATATATATATATAGAGGACTGGTATGTAATTTTATATACCATTAGTACCCAGGTCAATCGACCATATAGTTTAAAATATACTACATACAGTAAAAACTTGTACACATTGTGTCAAAATATCTATCACTTGTTCGTAAAAAAATAACAGTAAATAATAATAAAATTATTAAAAAAAAATTATTTTATAATAAAAATGCTTCCGTTTTGAGGCATTTTTGAATTACAATTAAATAATAATAATTTGTTGTCAAAAGTATTTGTTTTAAAAATTAAATTCACAAAAAAATTGAAAATTTTTAGTTTAATCTACAAAATACTAATATATAGGTTAAGTACTGAAAACAAGTTTATCAACAAAATTGAAAATAAATGTCAAAAAATTATTGTTTAAAATATTAATTTTGTTGATTAAAAACAACACTAATTTTTCTTACATTTAATATTTTTTAATAATGAATAATATTTTTTAAAAATAATTATTAATCAGTTTTTTTAATAGATATAATAATAATAATTGAATTAATAAACAAACTATTTTTACTAAATAAATTAAATTATAAATATAATTTTATATTATAAAAAATTAAATAATTATTTAAATAAAAACAGTTAATTATAAACCAACAAAAAAATATTATTATTAAATTTTTGTATGAAAAATAATAATAATAATAATAATAATAATAATAATAATACTAATAATACAAACAAATATATAATTATTGTAAGTTTATCAAAAATATATATATATTGTTTATTTTAATTATAAAAATTAATAGATATTATTATTACAGTATTATAAAATATTTTAAATAATGAAATATATATATACAAAAAAATTGAAACCAAAAAAAAAACATTCAAATATTAGTTACATAAATGCAATACAATTGAATTTTTTGCTATCAATTTATTGTTGTATATATATATTGCATTATTTAAAATATTTTATAATAATGTAATACTTTTAAAGTGTAACATAAACTTTTAAAAAAAATCTTAATAAACAAATATAAATTTTATGTACAATATATATACATTATTATTATTATTAATAATATAAATTTATTGAAATAAATTATTTTATACACAACATTACCAACAACAACAAAATTATATCAATAAACTAAACAAATATATATTTATAAAATAATATATATATATATAATATACACAAAACAAAAATTTATTAAAAAAAATAATATAATAATAAAGTGTTTAGACATCTGATGTCTGCTGATGTCTAGTAGTGGCCATACATTTGATGACTGCATCGTGAACTGACACAAACATTGAACCGGTATCTACTATAGGACGGCCATTAACCCCATCCCCACCCCCACTACCACCGTATTTAGTAGTAGTAGTAGTACTAGTAGTGGTGGTAGTATTAGCCAACAGTGCCAGTACTCGGGGCTGAACGGCAGCCAACAGTACCCGTATCTGTAGTTTTCGTAGATTACCGATAATTTCGTCCAATGTTTCCATACCGGAGCCGTCAATATAGAAAATAGACGAACAATCAATAATAACGGTCCTTATATGACAAGTCACTCGGGTATCGTTGTCCGGCTCAGGGCTCAGATTGATGTCATCACTAGATTTGTATTTGTTTTCAACAAAAAAAAAGTTTTTAATTAGTTATACTTTTTTTTTAAAAAAATATTAGTGTAAAATAAGTTATTGAGTTTAAAAAAAATTATATTTTAGTTAATTAAATAATAATAATTTTTTAATTAATTAATTAATTATTATTTTTTAATTAATTAATCATTTATTATTTTTTAATTAATTAGTTATTAATTAATTTTTATTAATTAATTTTTTATAATTATTTATAATTATTTATAATTAATTAATTATTAATTATTTTTAATTAATTAAGTAATTATTATTTTTTAATTAGTTAATTAATTATTATTTTTAATTAGTTAATTAATTATTATTTTTTAATTAATTAATCATTTATTATTTTTATTATTATTAATATAAATAAAAATATATTTTTTTTGAAAAATTAATTAATTAAATTACCATGCTACTTTGAAAACTTTTTTGAACAATTGTTTTCTGAATGTATGGCGATTGAGAAAAAATAGGGCACAACCGAAATAAAATATTTTTATTGATCTAATATCGACGGCACCGGTATGTCGATCAAGACTAACATATAGTTCACTATTAGGTAATCGGCCCATAACTGTACTGTAAGGTCTATCCAACAACAAAAAAATTAAATTAATTAATAAATAAAATAAAATAATAATATAATAATAAAATGTTTTTACTATAAATAGATTTTATGGACAACTAATTTGGAAATAATAATAAAATTAATTGTTATTATTTTTTTTAAAAAATGTAAAGTAATTTTATTTTTAATAAATTTTTTTTGAATATAAATTTACCTGGAAAATTTCAATACAATTACTAAAATGTTAAACACGATAGCAATCAATAGTCCAATATCGACATCGCATACTAATACAGCTATAAATGTAACTAGCCAAATTAGCTAGATTAAAAAATACAAAATTAGCTAGTTAATTTTTTCAATTTATAAAATTAATTAATTAATTAATTTTTTAAAAAAATTACCCCCTCCATTTTAGATAATCTAAAAATTTGTTTTACACGCAAACATTGCATAAACATTGATTTAAGTGCCACCAAAATAATTGCCGATAATATACACTAAAATAATAATAATAATATAAATAATATTTAATAATATCAATAATATTTGATAATATCAATAATATTTGATAATATCAATAATATTTGATAATATCAATAATATTTGATAATATCAATAATATTTAATAATATCAATAATATTTAATAATATCAATAATATTTAATAATATCAATAATATTTAATAATATCAATAATATTTAATAATATCAATAATATTTAATAATATCAATAATATTTAATAATATCAATAATATTTAATAATATCAATAATAATTAATAATATCAATAATAATTAATAATATCAATAATAATTAATAATATCAATAATAATAATATTTTTAAATAAATAATTTTTTTTCAACAACAAAAAATCTAATTGTATTGAATATAAATATTTATCAGTTATATAACTATTTACTAATTAAAATAACTAATTATTAACTATAATAATAAAAATAAAAAAAACTATTTAAACAAAACAAATAATATATATATATTTTAAACTAACTTTTGGCAAATGATAGATAAATGGTTCAAAAAATAGGATAACAAACAATAGGATTACTGAGGCCAACAAATTGGCCAGTTGTGATCGGGCCGCCAATCTATCCAATAGACCCGTACGGGTCAATGATGTCGATCCAGGATAACAGTTGAATAGTGAGCTCAGGGTATTGGCCATACCTATGGCCAACAGTTCCTGATTACAATGGATACGGTAGTTGTGTTTGTTGGCTACGGCTTTGGCAGTCGATACGGAAACGGCATACGAGACCAGGGATATGAGCAGTGCGTCCCATATGAGTATCGAAAATAGGCTGAGTGTCGGTAGTTTTGGTGACGGTATCCTTAAAAAAATATATTATATTATATGTATAATAATTATAGTATAATATTATTTTTAATTAAAATTAAACTGCATATGATTTTATGACAATTATTTTTAGATTATATGATTAATTAATTAACTAATATATTAATTATAAAAAAATTATTATAATATGTAATTATAATGCAAACAAATAGTTTATATATGTATATAGTATTTATAGAAATAATAATAATTTTTATCTAATAAAAAACATATTAATTTATTTTCAATTAGTTAATAATAATAATATTATTATTATTATTAAGTGCAACATTAATGCAATAAAATTTAATAATAATAATAATAGTGAAAAACTATTATATTTAAAAAAAACATGTATAAAAAATTATCATAAAAAAACTTTATAGTTATTTTTTAAAAAAAATATTACAATAAATTTTTATGAGTATTATTAAGTATTTCATACACACTCTCTCTAATAATGATAATAATAATAATAATTAAAAATAAATAAATAATAATAATTTTTATAACATTTACCCATTAGGTATATCAGCAACAATGTCAACTTGATGATTTTTGTTTAATCCAATCAACCATGATAATAATGTCGATAGTATCACCTTGGTTAAATTGTATAGAATAATAATAATAATAATAAACAGTAATTAATTTAAATATTTAGTTAATTGAAATATTTAACTATTAAAAAAAATTACAATTAATATATCAGTGGGGAACGGTATGTTGAATTTGTTAAATTTTTTATTAACTAACGGTTGGACCACTTGACCGATAACTATGAGCACCGTTAGGCAGGCTATGGACAGTCCCATTGTTATGAAATTAATTTGATGTAAGTTTGAGAAAAAACCGATCCATTCCTTTAACAAACAAAAAAATATTAAAATTAGATAAAAAAATAATTAAATTAATTAATTAATTGATAATAATAAAACTAACCTTGATAATCCTGAAAACACTGTATGGTTTTTTAGGTAAATCTATGTCAAACAATGTCGGAAAATACAGTGTCAGCACCTGTACGCTGGCGGCTACTGTAAATGCATTGGCTATGGTATCCGATACTAGCAATGATAGTGAACCTAAGTGCAGACAGGCCATCAATAGCTACATAAGCGCCCAGTATGTAAACAGGTATATATAAATATATATATAGTAATCGGGAGATATTAATATATATGTATATAATTTTAACCTAACAATTATTATACAGTAATTTTTTTTAATAGGGATGTATACCTGTATTAGTCCGCAGATAAGGCACAGGGATGTAACAATATCTACCTGGCTAAACACTTGGCTAACCAGTGTATGATTGCCAGTTTCGGTGTCAATCGTGTAGACGGTATCGCCTACACGTAGTACTACATCCCTGATCATTATGCTCATTATGGAAAATGTACCTTGATCAATCAATTTATAATAATAATAATAATAATTAATTGAGTACTTATAGACCCTTCCCCTTGCGGGATGTCTATCATACACATACACACATATACACACATATATATACACATATATATACACATATATATACACATATATATACACATATATATACACATATATATACACATATATACACACATATACACACACATACACACACATACAAACACACATACACACTCATATATACACATATACACACATACATACACACTCATATATACACATATACACTCATATATACACATATACACACATACACACACACACACACACATACACACACACTTACCCAGTGATGTATGATGAGAGGTACCCATCAGTGCATAGACTAGACCGGGAAAAAAAGCTACAAACAACCCGTACTCGGGACCCATACCCGACAAATAACCGTTGGCCATAGCTTCGGGTATCTGAATTGTGGCCAATGTTAGACCGGCAACTATATCGTAAACCAATGGATTGATCCGGAAAAACGGGTAGTTTCTGGCCGATCTGATAATGGGAAACATGGGTAATAGGGTGTCCGCTATGGACAGCCGTTTCCAACGTTTGCGCAAATATTTGTATGATTTGTGTTTAAATGATTCAATAATATTATTATTACTATTATTGTAATCATTATTATTAGGTATAGTTGTGGTCGACGGTGTTGTCGGTGTTGTCGGTGTCGATGTATTATTATATTTGCTATCAATATCCGTATAGTTAACTACATCCCTATTGATGACCACTCGGGTCTCGCCGGACGGTAGTTCAACCGATATACGCGAGTGTTGCTTATGGACAGCCTTTTTATGGCCATTGACTACAGTTGTTGCCGCCGCGGCCGTTGAGCCGCCGGTACTGGACTTACGGTAGTTTTCATAGTTGCTAATAGTGTTGTTGTTGTTATTATTATAATCATCTAATGATTTTTTGGACATTAAGTTTTTTAGTTTAGTTTAAATTAGTTGTTTTTTAAAATAGTTAATAATTCAATTAATATCTTTTTAGTTATTATTATAATAATATTATTGGTAATAATATCATAGTTAACATAAATACTACTAATAATTATAATAATATTTTTTTTTGTTAAACAAAACTTTCAATATTTATACATAATTTAAATATAGTATATATTTTGTGTATGTGTGTGTATGTATGTGTGTCTATGTGTGTGTGTGTGTGTGTGTGTGTGTGTGTGTGTGTGTGTGTGTGTGTGTGTGTGTGTGTGTGTGTGTGTGTGTGTGTGTGTGTAATATATATATGTTTGTGTATGTGTGGTGTCTAACTATTGATAATTGTTAGGTACAATAGTATTAATAAGTAATTAGTATTAGTATTATTTAGACATTATATTATATTAAAAAAAAATTAATCTCTTAATTATTGTTATACTGATAGTTAGTTAATTGTAATGTAAAAGGTTTAATAACATTAGTTATTGTATTATAATAATAGTGTAATAACAATGTAATAGTAATTTGTAATTTAATTGTAATAATTTAATTAATACACTATTACACTATATTTCCTGTCATTAATCATTATAATAAAACTTTTTATTTTTTGGGGATTAATTGTATTAAAAATTCCAGTTAATTATATTATTTTTAAAATAAATATCATTAAAAAAAAAATTTTTGTTTCGATAGTCAAGTTATAAATATTTTTTAATATAAATTTAAATTTAAATAATATATATATATATATATATAAATATATTGATATATAAATAATTACCATCATCATCATCAATTGATATATCGGACCATATGCTAAATATACTCTGTTTACGTAATTTATCATGATCAATTTTTGGTAAATTTAAATGATTCATCAGGGAGAAAATGTTTAATTAATTAATTAATTAATTAATAGTTATAAATATAAATATATTTTAAAAATTATTAAATATATCACGCATTCATAGTCATTACAATTACAACAAAAAAATAATAATAAATTAATAATGTTTTAGTTACAATAATTTTTTTTTTAAAAATTTAATATATATAAAAAATATTTTTTAATTTAACAATATTTTAATGTTTTATTACTACTGTATTATTATTATTATCAAATTTTTTGATAACAAATAGTTGCATATAAACTAATGGTTTAACTATGTTATTCAATATATATATATATTTAATATTAATATCTATTATAAATAATCAGTCATAAAAATATTAAATAATAAAAAAAGTTTTTTGAAATTGATAAACATTTATAATATAACAGATAATATATATATATATATTATATGTTTATTGTATAATTGTAGACGTAATATGATTGTTAATATTATTTTTTGTTTGTTAGATTAATTTGATTTATAACTATATTTTATATTTATTTTTTTGTTGTAATATAAAAAAAGTGTGACTAGTTGTCTATAGTATATATATATATATATACAAATTAATACCAAGGTCAAAAAATGATATTTATAAATTAAAACAATAATAAAATTGTTAATCTAATTAACAAAAAAATTTTTTTTCAATTAATATATCTAAAAAAAATATTATTTTATTTATTAATATTTATTATAAATTCTAATAATAATCAAACTATAATTTTAATTATTAGTATTATATTATTACTAAAAAATATTATATCTAATAATTATAATAATAAACTTAATAAAAACTAAAATATTAATATATTATATAATTATTATTAAAAGTTTATTTCATGTATATTATCAAAATTATATCACATAACTAATAAAAAAAATATATATATACGTAAATATGATACTTAAATAAATTTAATTTAAAATATTTGAAATAATAATAAATAAAATGTTGTAATTGAAAGTGTAAATTATAATTAAAACAAAATATAGTAATAAAATTTATAAAAAAAATATTTTATGAATGTTTATTATAAATTTATAAATTTTGTAATAATTAAAACATTATAATAATTAACAACATTATTTACTGTAATTATACTGTAAAGTTAATTAATTAATTATTAAAATAAATAAATTGATTAATTATTTTTTTGTTTAAAAAAATTACAAAATACATTATAAATTGTTTTGTAATATACTTTTTGTTTTTAAAAAAAATGTTTAATTATATTATTTTAACAAATATTAAGTATTATATACCTGTAATATCATATATTATAATATTATATAATTTTTTTGGTGATAATTAAAAAAAATCTAATTAATAATAACTAATACAAACTAAACAACAAAAACAACAACTAATCTATACAATTATTTGATATAATAATAATAATATATAAGTTTATCATCGATTTTTAGCAGCTATTAAAAAAACAAACAAATAATTGATTAATTGTTATAATTTATATAATTATCAATTAATATACATATATCATATACAGTATATATATATAAATGTATATTAAGAGAGATAACTAGAGAGAGAGAGATGTTAGAGAGAGAGACAACAACAGATAATAATAAGAGAGAATAAGAGAGAAATTACTTAGAGAGAGAGAGAAGAGAGAGAGAGAGAGAGAGAGAGAGAGAGAGAGAGAGAGAGAGAGAGAGAGAGAAAGAGAGAGAGAGAGATATAAAAAAGAGAGAGAAAGAGAGAGAGAAAGATAAAAAGAGAGAGAGAAATAAATAAAGAGAAAGAGAGAAATAAAGAGAGAGAAAAAAAATAAAGAGAGAGAGAAAAATGAGAGAGATGTATATATATATATATAGAAGATAGAGGAACGGGAGGTATAGATTGGGTAGGTATGGGTCATGGGTATAGTGTCAGCATCGTTGGTACAGTTTGCGTAACTCCAGATTCTCCTCTTCCAGCTGTTTCAGACATTTCCTGAGCGACTGGTTCTCCCGTTCCAAATAGTTAGCCCTCAACACGATCTGGTTTTCCCGTTGACGGCGACTTTCACGCGACCGTTTGGCCGCATAGTTATTCTTTGCCCGTTTCGACCAATACCTATCATCTTTGGCATCGTCGGGTGTTATCTGTTTTTTTGACTTATGTACGATCGGCTGTGGTTTCAGGAGGTCGACAACCACTGGCTTAAGTAGTGCTGGTGGCGGTGCCGGTGCCGACTGTATTAGTGGACGACTGTCCTCAGCGTTGTTGTTGTTGTTGTCATCGTATAGCTGTTCCAGTGCTTCAACAGCCAATGGCTGCTGTTGTTGGTGATGGCCATTGCACTCGTGATGATTATTATAGTTATGATGTGGGCTATGCTGATGATGATGATGATGATGATGACCACCACCACCATCACCGACGGCTATATTGTTGTTTTCGGTTGTGGATAGTGCCGTCGGTACTGCCACTACCGGTGCCGCCGGCATATGTATACCAATACCGTGTAGAAAGTCGTCCAAATCCATTAGTTTCATATTTCTATTGTTGGTATTGTTGGCGCTTAGGATGGATGTGCTGTTGTTGTTGTTGTTGGTAGTGGTGGTAGTAGTAGTGATACTGTTGTGGTGGTGATGATGATGGCTATCGACAACATGACCATTGGTATGGGTGTTGACCACTGAGCCTAACTGTTGCAACCATTTGACATCAGTTTCTTTATCACCGCCACCACTGTCTGTAGTAGTAGTAGTAGTAGTAGTGCCGCCACTACTACTGTCCATATTTTTTTATTATCTGTATGACTGTCCTGTCCTGTCTAACTGGCTGTCTGTCTGTCCACCATTTCACTCATATACACACTGCACATACAAACATATAGCACAGACACTGCCTAAACATACAGACACCTAACCTATAGTTAAAATAACTGCTGAAAAAACTGTTGATACCGTTCCTCTCTCTCTCTCTCTCTCTCTCTCTCTCTCTCTCTCTCTCTCTCTCTCTCTCTCTCTCTCTCTCTCTCTCTCTCTCTCTCTCTCTCTCTCTACCGACTATTATACTTAAAACATCTTTTATTACAATCATTCAAATTATACATACTATACATATATATATATATACAGTAAGCAAATCGGTAGGTATTTTGATAGGGGTTTATGTTTTTTTTTGGTTTAAGCATCAGTTTAGCTAATAGAGAGAGAGAGAGAGAGAGAGAGAGAGAGAGAGAGAGAGAGAGAGAGAGAGAGAGAGAGAGAGTTAGCTCACGTTTATAGTGTCTAAACACGTGTCTAATTAAACGTGACATCTCACGTGTATAGCCTATATATATATATATATCTGTCTAAATATATCTAAACTACCTGTGCTTGTGTCTATGGATAGACGCATCTATCAAGACTATAGACGTACATATAAATTATTATTATTATTATTATTATTACTAATCAAATAATATTTTATGATTTTGTTGGTTTAAAATTAGATATCCGACTATATTATAGACATAACATTAATTAATAATAATATTATATATTATAACAATATATTAATTTTAGTATATTATTAGTATTTATACATATTTTACATATTTTCTATTATATATATATATATTTGTGGTATTTTTTATTTGTGGTAATAATTTATATATGTTTGTTAATAATAATAATAATATCAATTTCAATTATTTCAATTATATAATAAACATTGCTGACCTAAAAATTTAATTAATACAAAATTATTAAATATAGATATTAAACAAAAATAATTGTTTGATATATATATATATAAAAAATGTTTTTAACTAAATAATATATAAATTTATTGTTATTAATAGATTATTTTTTATTTTTCAATATCCAATAATGTAATTCAATTATACTGTAATAGGTGTCAGACACTTATCACTGGACGACAATCAATGAGACAGTAAAATCATATATCAAATAGATATATATATATATATATATATATATATATATATATATATATATATTTCAATATATATATTTCAATATATATATTTCAATATATATATAAATAAAAATTGATTTTTATATTTCATTATTTAGTAAAAATTATTTATTTATTAATTATTAGTATAAATGTCAAAAATTATTTTATTTATTTATTTTTTTTATAAAAACACTAAATAATATATTTATATAAAAGTTAAATTAAATTATTAATTATTTGGTGATAGTTTAGCAATAAATAATGAAAATAATTTTAGCGTAAATTTTGTTGTTGTGTAGATTAGCTAAACAAAAAAAAAATACAATATAATGATTAATAAAAAAAAAATTCAATATATAAATCATAATTTATATTATTTTTTTTTATTATTAAAAATATAATTTTAAAAAAATGAAATATTTTTGAAAAAATAATTTATTTTTTTGTTGTGTGTTTACCATATTATATGTGTACTGATTGATCAAAAATAAATGCCAACATTGAATACCAATCCTACTATTGGATGACCAGTGGATCAATAATTCAATCTTTAATAATAAAAAAAAAAATAAATAAAATATTTATTTAAACAAAATTATAATAATATAAATATTGATCGAATTATTATTATAAAAATATGAAACAAAATAAACAAAAAATTAATTTTAATAGAAAATAATAATAATAATTACAAATATTATTATTAATACCTTAAGTAATTTTTTAAATAATTTTTTTTCGTTTATTATTATTATTATAAAAATATGAAGCAAAACAAAAAAAATAATAATTTTAATAGAAAATAATTTTTTTTTTTTTAAATTATCTATTAGTTAAAATATTTATTTAAAAAAATAATTATAAATATTATTAATACCTTAAGTAATTTTTTTAATAACTTTTTACGTTTATTATTACTATTATTATTATAATTATTAGTATCAATATTTTTATTAGTAATACTTATAATATTATATTTTATACTATTATTAATACTATTAGTATTATTTATATTACTTTCAAATACTAATAACATATATAATCGATACAATAGTTTAGTGGTTAGTTTCCACCCGGTATTGATAGCACTGGCATATAGTATCAGTGCTGTCATAGCTGTAAATAATATCAATAAAAATATTACAAAAAATACAGTTAAAATTGTTGTCAATTGGACAAACACCAAGGTAACCACTAAATTGGACATCAATAGCAAATAGGCTGTCCAATAGGCAAATATAATCAATGACCATGAATAATTTAGTTGGGTAATTTTCCCGGAAAATTTACATATAATTTTATGTATATGTTTGAAATTATTATTATTATTATCTAATAATAATTGTTGTTGTTTAATATCCAAATGCAATTTAGCTAGCTCACATTTACTTAGCATACATGTACCAATAAAATAGTATATATGAACGATAATTGAACTAGATAGTCTACAATAAACATAACCATGATACAGTATCCAGGGTATACCATATATTAGAAATTCATCCAGTTGATAATTTAACCACATTGTCGACCAACAGGGTAACATTGATAATAGAAATAATATTGAACTAGTACAATTTATCAATAAGTTATAATTATTTTTAATAGTATTATTATTATTAGTAGTAATAGTATTTTTAATATTATAATTATTATTAGTATTTAAATTAATAAAATAATAAATACTATCCAATTGAAATTGATCATGATAATTACTTAAATATTTAACTAAAAATTCTAGACAAACTAATACTAATAGTATTAGTTTATATTGATTACCAATTGACCAATAGTAGGTAAAATCACCAAGCAACATTGCCATATATTTATTATTATTATTATTTTCATCAATGTTGTATATTAATAAAATGCGTAAAATTTCAAATATAGTTAAAATTTTTGTAAATATTTTAGTATTTTTATTAACTATTGTATAGTTATGATGATGTCTAGCGTAGCCATTTTGATAGCATGATTCACCTAGTAGATATACTAGATAATAAATTAATTGTAATTTTTTAGCTAGCCTATTTTGTTGTTTGTCCATGATATTATTATTGATTGTATTAATAATATTGAAACAAAATAAACCTTAAAAATATAATATTTATAAATTAAAAATTTATTTTATTTTACGCATAACTTTTAAGTAAAAATTTTAGTATTATTATTATATTGAAAATGATTAATAAAATATTTATTTTTGATATATAAAAATAAATAAATTATTACTTATTGTAATTTAATAGTTAAATTTATTGTATTAATCATTATTATAACTTGAAATAAGATTATAAATTTAGTTTAAGTGTATATTTAAATAATAAATCAAACATTAATGATAACTTTATATATTAATATATATATATTTTTAAATTTCACATAAAATATGTAATATTAGTTGAATAATTATAACTAAAATAGTAAATATATTTTTATTTTATTTTATATACAGTGTATACACAATTTTATTTAATACATGTAATATTTAAAAATGACATTTAAAAAATTATTAATTTATATATATATATATTGATATAAAAATTAATATAAAAAAAATAAATTTTTATTAATTAGTTGTATTAAACCATATATGTATAAAACTATTTTTTTATTTAAACAAAAAAACAACAAAATTATTAACAAAAATAATAATTTTTAACAAACATTGATATTAATAGAGAATTATTTCAATACAATAAATAAATATTATTAAAATATTTAAATAATAATAATAATAATTTTAATTTACAAAAATAATGAAAATAATTTTAGTGTAAATTTTGTTGTTGTGTAGAGTAACTGAAAAAAATAAGAAAATAAATAAAAATTAATTAATAATTTAAATAATATTTTTAAATATTTTTATTTTTTTCAATTAAATATTAATATATATATAAATACCATATTATATGTAAACTGATTGATCAAAAATAAATGCCAACAATGGATACCAATCTTACTATTGGATGACAATTGGATCAATAATTCAATCTTTTTTTTTAAAAAAAAATAAAAATAATTAATTATTAATTATAGAAAAAAGTTAATTAATAATAAAATTTAAAAAATTATAATTTTTTAAAAATATCAATTAAATTACCTTTAGCAATTTTTTCAATAAAATTTTTGATTTATTATTATTATTAATATTATTGAAATTTTTATTTTTATTTTTAACATTATAATTATTATCAATACTATTATCAATACTATTATCAATACTATTATCAATACTATTATTAATACTATTATCAATACTATTATTAATACTATTATCAATACTATTATCAATACTATTATCAATACTATTATCAATACTATTATTATTAATAATACTATTACTAATAATGTATAATCGATGCAATAGTTTATGTGTAGATTTTGATTCACTATTGATAGCACTGGCAAACAGTATCAATGCAGTCATTGTTGTAAATAATATTACGAAACATATTAAAAAACATAATAATAATAATTGATTTAATTCAACAAACACTAGAATAACCATCAAATTGGACATCAATAGCAAATAGGCTGTCCAATAGATAAATAATGATTTAGACCATACATAATTGAGCTTGGTTAATTTACTAATAAACTTATCATACATATTATGTATATGTCTGAAATTTCTATTATTATTATTATTATGAACATGTACAATTTTGTTGTTATTGTTGTTGCCTATAATTTGTAATTGCTGATTATAATTGATCATGATCAATTGATAATGTAGATAACCTAGTTCCAATTTTGCTAGTAAACATGTAGCCAGAAAATAGTATACATGATAAATAGTTGCTAACATAATTAGACAATACATATAACCCATGTATAGTATCCAAGGTAGTCCATAGATTAGAAATTGTATCCAGGTACGATAATTTTGCCACCAAGTAACTGAGCATGGACATATAGATATTAAAAATAATAATCTAGTTGTTAGTTTCATAAATATTTTATAACATTTTCTAATATTATTATTATTGTTGTAATTATTGTTTAATGTAATAAATTTATAAATAGTTTCTAATTGAAATTGATCATGGTAATTATTGCTTAAAAATTTACATATAAATTGTATCCATACGCAAACTAATAGTAATAATTTTATTTGATTACTAGTTGATGGCCAATAGATAGTAAAATCACCAAGGTACATTGCATTAATATATTTATCAGTATTATTATTATTATTATAATATGTGTTTATATATATACAAGCTAGACGTATAATTTCGATCAGGGTCAATATTTTGAATAATTTACATTGTTTATCATTACATTTACTATAGCTATGATGATGTCTAGCGTAACCAATTTGATAGCATGATTCACCTAGTAGATATACTAGATAATAAATTAATTGTAATTTTTTAGCTAGCTTATTTTGTTGTTTATACATATTATTATTTATAAATTATTTTTTTTAAATATTATTAATTTATAAAACAAAATAAATTATTATTATATTTAATTAATCACTAAAATGTTTATAATTATAGTATTAATATAAATAACTTATATTAAAAATTTTATTAAAAAGTTTAATTTTAATTAATATTACTATTAAAGTTGATATTTTTTTTGTATTTATTTTTAAAAAATATTATTAATTTTATAAAACAAAACAACTATTATTAGTATATTTAATTAATCACTAAAATGTTTATAATTAGTATTATAATATTTACTAACTTATAAAAAATAAAATAAGTTATATTTAAAATCAATAGTTTTATTAAAGTTAATATTTTTTTAAATAAATTTTTAAACCTATTATATGATTTATTATTGTAGTAATAGTATGGAAATAGATATATAAATATTATTTCACAACAAAAATAATTGTATTGAATTTTATAATATATATATATATTATATTATAATTTATAGATAACTTCACATATTAACAATATATATATATATATATATATATATATATATATATATATATATATATATATATATATATAAATACTAATAAAACAAATACAATTAAAACTATTATTTAAATAATATTCATTGATATATATATTTTTATTGTTGGTATTTTAGTTTTTTTCAAAGTAAATACTGTATTTAAAAAATAGTAAAATAAATAATAATTAAAATAAATATTATTTTTAGCAAATTTTTCTCATATATCAGTAAATAAATATCGGTATTATTTAAATTGCATTTTTTGTGTCGTTTAATTAAATATAATATAGTTTATTATCTGTAATTATTATTATTATTATTATTATTATTTTTGTTTAACTTGGAAATAATTATGAAAATTTTTATTTATTTGTTTTTGTCTGAATAAAAATATTTTAATTATTAATGTATAAAAATAGATTATTAAAGTAAATATTTATTTATATTTATTATTTTTTTACAATCATTAGTCAATAATATATAATATTCAAAAAAAATAATTAAAATAATTGTATATATTATTATAATACTAATGTATAATTATACATTTTATTAATGATAATAATAAAATCATTTAATTATCTTTCTTAAATGTTAATTAAAAAAAATCTAGATTTAAAAAAATTTAGTTAAAAAATAATTATTAAAAAAAATCAATGTAAAATATAATTATACAATATAATTATTTTAATTAACATATTATAAACTAAAACATTATTTATATAACTTAATAATTTGTATGATAAAAATTATAGTAAAAATTTATAATCAATAACTAGAATATACTGTACTATTGGGAATTACAAAACATAATACAAATATATATTATTATTATATTTATATTATATAAAAATAATTGACAATAATTGTAACAAAAATAATTATAATAATGATTTTTATATAATTAATAATAAATTTTATTACAAAAATTAATACATTGTTTGTATATTATTTAAAATAATATATGATTTTTATAGATGTATTTATAGATATTTTGTTGTTGTTTTTAATGTACTACAAAATAAATAGAAAATAATAAATAAATTATATTTACAAAAAAAATCATCACTTATTTAACAAAACAAAAAAATATATTATTTTTTAAAAAAAAGTACACATTTTATAATAATTGAAAAAAATATAATATTAATAATAATATCTAATATTACTTATATCATTGCAATTAAATAATAAAATACAATATATTTATAGAAAAAATATTATTATTATTTTATAAGATAAAAATCACTAAATTATTTTCAATAAGACATCAATTTTAAGTGAATGTGATTTCATATATATATATATATTTAGCACAGTTAGGTGTTTTTTGGATAAGGTATGTACTAACTAAACAATAACCAGTATAGACAATCACAGCTACAGTTACCTACAAACATACAAACAAACAAACAAACAAAAAAACACAATATATATCTATTATATAAAATATTTATTATTAAATAATACTCAAATGTTATAATAATAATAATAATAATACCAATATTTCTATAGTTAAACAACACATACACAGCAACAACAAAAAATCAAACAAAACCCACACTTGATATATATATATAAAATATAGATATATTGAAATAAAAAATTACTATAAAAATCAGTGATTTTATCTTAACATAACAGTTAGTAGTAATAGTTATATATTTTTTTTATGGTGTAGTATAAGTCATATATACAGTATATATAAAATAAAATACAACAAATCCTATTGAATACCTATTATTATTATTATTATTATATTATCGTAAGTAATGTTTTTTTAAATTATTAGATTTAATAATATTTTTTTTATAAATTATTAGTTTAAATAATAGTTTATAAAAATTATTATATTTAATAACAGTTTTTATAAAAGTTATTAGATTTAATTATAGTTTTTATAAAAGTTATTAGATTATAAAAGTTATTAGATTTAATAATAGTTTTTATAAAAAAAATTAGATTTAATAATATTTTTTATAAAAAAAATATTACTTTAAAATCATTAATTGTTTTATTTTATTTTTCAATTATATTATTATACGTATTAATACTATTATTATTTTTGTTTAGTATTAATTAATTAATTTTTAAAAAAATATTTATAAATTATTACTTAATATATAAAAACTATAATTATTAACTATATATATAAATTGATATAATATTGCAATAATAATAATAATAATAATAACTAAATACATATCTAAATATCCGTTTTATTAAAAAATAATTTTTTTCACATTAATATTATTTTTTTTCTACCATACAATTAGCACCGTTAGTTTTTTTTCAACCAAAAAAATAAATAAATAATAATAATGTCAATCATAAGGATATTACTAGTCGTATCA